TCATGATAAACTTTCAAATAAATTACCTGAATCTGAAGGGGAAAGAAGGCGGTGTTAGGTTTACTGCTATTCCTTTTCAGATTAAGTTTCTAAGACCATGTCTCAGAAACCATGTCTCAGACTATGTCTAACCTATGGGATCCAGGAGCACTTCCCAGCCTCCAAGTCTTAATGTATGCCTGCCACGCTCTGACGTGGAGTCAGAGGCATAGGCCAGACCCTTCCTCCTATACCACCAGGGAGGTGTAGCAGCTGTCTTCTACCTCCATTGGAGGACACCTAAGCATGCAGGCCAAAAGCAAGCTACTGGTGGAGCTTCTGGAGACCTGAAGATTCAGGATGCCAGGCCATACCAGGGGACCTGCCTCACAGTGCAAGTTCAAACTTAGGATCTTTAGACACAAGAGAGCCCTTGTAATCCACGCCTGATGGGTCTTGGCACAAGTGATCCCTGAGCTGCTCAGGCTGGGCTAGTTCTTGGCACACCCAGAGAGAGAACTGGAAGCAGCCAAGGAAAGCCACATGAGCGGATATTTAGTGAGCTGAAGGGAGGGAAGTCAGACTGTAATTTCGTGCTGCTCTTGGCAGCCAAGTCCTCTCTTGAATCTTGTCCATAGTTTCTGAAATGTGTTTAATTTACCTTTTGTGCAAAAGGTGCTGGAATGTGGAGGAGGGATGTTGGTTCTTCACTCTTGGACACCAGCACACGCACCACGGCGGACCGCAGAACAGATGCTCCTCCAAGTCCATGAACTGGAATCTCACATTACTGGATGGTATTGCAACACTGTGAACCCCTCTATTGCTGCCATGCTGCAGTCAGGTAAGAAGTTCATCTAGCTCTATATTTTGTCTCTAAATTATGGCCCTGACCACATCCTCAGTGGGTGAATGTAACAAAAATGTCACCCTGATTTACCCTCCTATCTTCCACTGAGCGGTTCAGAGGCTTAGTGAGCTTGTAGGTTGCCACTGGTCCAGCTAATCTCCATTATTTCTACTTTAGGTCTTGCAATGACTCTTAACAAGTTCCATGACCAATTCTGCACTTTGTGAAAGTGGACTTCATTTCTTGTTTATTATTTTGCATCTTTCTCCTGGAAACGATGAAGAACAATTACTGCTAATGCAAAATGAGCAGCCTTGGCACCGGACAGTCCTGACTACTCAGATTCCAGGCTTGAAGGTCTGATAAAAATCTCAGTGAAACTAATGGGAATCTTTCCAGAGCAGCTTTACCTAAAGTCTAAAGGCACAGACATACTGCACTCCTAGAATCCCATAGGCACATAATCCTATTCAGCCCTTTACTTAAAGAATGATTAGCAAAAAGGTCTACAAAATCTACTCATTTTGCAATACTAAACTGCTTCCAGTGCATTCCCAGATGTCAAATTCCCTCTACGTTCCCAATGCAGGAGCCAAACTCTTCAGCTTCTCTCTTTGACAATTTCCACTGTGCAGAGGGATGCATGATTACAAAAATCTGTGGTGGCTTAACTGAATATGAAAGTAGGACAAAGATAAAATAACATGAAGTATTAACCATTAATTCAGGGAAAATCTAGCACTGTGATAAATGGTGCCTAATCATGGATGTGTTTAAGTCATTGCTGAAATCTAATGCCTGGGGCATCGAGAGGCAAAATAAGGAGGGCTGAAGAAAGATCAGCACTGCAAGGCCATTTAACTCAATTAATATACTCCCATTATCACAGTTAGTAAAAGTAAACAGCAGTTGTTTCTAAATATCTCGGTTTTATACTGTCTATTCCAATACTTGCTCTGCTGCTCAAAACCTTAGCCCCTGGAAGCATAAGATTACATCAACTTCTCAGTTGTTATTTTCTTCTCCCCCTAAAGCAGGCTTTAAAAATGGCAACCTGACGCAAACTCACTCAAAACCCTCACAAGCCAGGAGACAGACAAACCCACTAGGTTTTTTAATGCCATGACTTTCAGAAAATCTCCTGAGTGTTTTTGCTTTCTGGGTTTAATTATAGAAGTCAAATACTGGAACAGAGGCTGTGTCAACGACCGAACTTATGAGTCAAATTAACAAGCAGTAAACTATTCACAACAGATGTAGCTCTACATAAACAGAAACATACAGGGGGAAGAAAATACCTGCAAGGAGACAATCAGAATGAGCTCTTTGCAAGATTCAGGAAGGCAGAAAGCAAGTGCCGCAGTGATGTTTCTGGGTCCTGCGTTTCCAGTGCTGACTACAATTAGGAAACAAGGCACTCCTCCAGCGGAGCAGGTTTACTGAGAAGCTCTAGACGGCTGCTCTAACTCCTAGAGAGGCGGTCATTAAACTGCTGGTATTTTACAGCCTCCGCAGGCCTGAGTCAGACTAAGCTCAGATATGGGAGAGAATCAGGCTCGTGGGAACTGCGCCTTTTAACTTTAAATTCCAGCTCCTCTAAACCTACCTGCCATCCTTCTCTGAATCTCCCTCCTTTCATGGGCTAGTTATTAAGTGTTCCTAACGCACTTGTTAGATCTGTTAAAAAACCTCAGAGAAAGAAACTTGGTAGCAATTCTTTCTTACATACCATCTCAGTTTTAATTTACACTTTAATGTATGTTATTATCAGCTCAGGAATAGACAGGACTATATGTGAATTCACGTATATTGACGTGAACACCACAACCTAGGAAAAGGGAAACATAATTCAGATGCAGTGATTTTACTTGACTTACTTCATTATTATAATCCTGACCAGTATAGTTATAAGGAATGCGTAGTACCGCAGGTTTGCAAGCACACTGCGCTTTCTAATCCTAAGGATTGATATGGAAAAAGAATAGATTTGTAAACACTGTGGATGGAAGAGACACGCAAAAGTGTATGCCCTGTCCCCACTGACCTTGCATAGATGAAGAGCATCTCATTCTTATCCATGACTTTACTTGAAAACCTGCATGGGAAAAGCGCTCAGAAAGATGTATATTCCAAAAGGAGCGTATTCCGGCACAAAGTTGAGGGACTATGGATGGCTCTCAATGGGATACCGGCACTAATCCCAGTCTTGTTTCTCTATTCAAACAGCAAATTAATTGGCACACGCACCTCACTGAGGATGTCTATGGCATACTTTGCAGACATGCACAGCCAAAGAGGTCACGTTTTGAACCTGTAAATTACTCACGCATTTTACATTTTAAATAAACCTGTAGATTTATTGTACAATAGTACAGCATGTGCCTTTTTAACCAAAAGCTCAGCATCACACAACACTTTAATCTTCCATTTAAACATACACAGTCCTACAACACAGCTCAGTTCAGCTAGGAAAGCTACATAATGAATTAATTTATTGAGAGTCCTGGCTATGCTGTTCTTAAGGATGTTTACCTACAGCAAGAACAGTGGCAGTGGTTCTGGTGTTGTAACATTTAATCACTTTAACCTGTTCTCAGCACAGTAATAGCAAGCAGTCATCTAGAGCAAAATGAGGAGGTCATTTAAGGGACGCTACATTTAATTGCAAATGCATGAAACAGTAGACCAGAGGATCTCACACATGTAATACAAGTAAGGATTAGAAATCTGCTTTGAGATCACTGTGACGTAGTGTCTGCACTAACGGTGCCCCACAATCCACCACACAGGAAGACCGGATGCATGACAGGCATCGCACCATGCAGTAATATTGTTTGGATTGAAATTGTTAGGTTTGGAAGGGGCAGAGCAGGGTGTTCTGCACAAATATACACTTGCCTTATTACATTAGTTTACAGGTCAGAAACACGCCTGTAGCCATTTGCCCACATGCCAGCAGCCTCTTGTTTCAATTGATTTTTACAGTTTGCTTCGATTTTAGCTGGTTCAGTCGAAAACAGTATCGTTACTTCCAGACACGGAGTGTGTTTTGTGCTATGTGTCTTAGCCTTTCAAATTGTCATAAACACCCGAGTTGGTGTAACTGGGCATTCTTTAGGCACGCTCTTGTGCACAGCTAGCCACAAGTTGTTATCAAGACATGTTCAGATACGCTTTTTCACTTGCCACAGGGGTTCCTCATTGCAACGGAGATTCGAAGTTCATCACTGCTTAATGACTTACAGCAAGTGAAGTTCCCCTGAAGTTTGGAATTAAGTATCTACTACCCAAATGAGCTACAGGTTACATAGCAAATTCTTGATCAGAGAAAGTTTATGCCTTTTTATTGCTGTTCAATTAATCAATGTGTGTCAAACCTTAAGCCTGTTACTTTAAAGGATCAAGTGCTATTTTTATTAAAGAATTTCAAATTCTCAAGAAAAACAGTATTTTCAGTAGATTTTTAAACACCCAAAGGAGGTAAATTTGGATCCTACTCCTGAACATGTGATTTCTCACTTACGGCGGGACCATGATAGTGCACTGTTGGTTGGTTCTGAATGGTACTGAACTCCTACAGTATCAATTAAAATAATATGCTAATCAAAACACAGACAGTGATACTAAAGAAACAGAGGAAGGAAATTTATATCAAACATCTGATCTTGAATTAAAACAGACCAGCAATAGTGTGTAAGCTTTCAAACAGATGAGACGCTTAGCTGCTATCAAGTAGCATACCAGCAGTAGTTTCAGAAGAATTATACCAAACTTGCACCCACTATGGTTCATACGTACTCTCTGACTCCACAAATTTCACTCATCTTAGACAAAATACTAAAGCAAGTTAATTCAAGTATACTAAAAAAAATGGGAGGAAGAAGGATCTTTTTAAATCAAAGTTGGTTTTTGTATCATCTTCCAAGTATTTTGGGAAAATTTCACCACACTGAAAAAATTTTCACTTATCTGTCTCGCTTCTAGCTTTATGTAAGACTAACCAGCAGAAGAAACAAAGTTGGAAACAAAACCATTCTTAGCTTGTGAGACTAAATGCATGTCCTCAGTAGACCTCCAGTTCACTGTCTAAACTGTAATGTTTTACTAGCTTTTGGTGAACATATGAACTTTTGGCTGATTATCTAGACACCACTGACACATGTAAAGATTATTGAAAAGGTAGTTATCGAATTAAAACAGACATCACCTGAAACGATTTTTTTTTTCTTGCTGTAAAACAAACACAAGCAGCATATTAACAAGATGCACAAGTTGTTCTTCACCCATTCACAACTTTTTAATTTGGTTAATAAGTAATGAGAAATAATTAAAACCTGATCTTGAAATGTCGATAACAGTTTAAGGAATAAAGCTCTGCTATTTCCTGAATTCATTCCATGCCATCCTTAATAAAAGAGCTTATGCAGATTCCTTCTGCTTACTAAAACCCAGTCAGCTTCTCTTTCTTACATATTTAAATAGCCCCAACACCAGAGACATACAAAATGTTATACTGAATTTTAATCCTTGTAAAACATTATTACACCACACACTGTTATGATACATCTTTTCAATAACATCCATTACAGAACTCAGTAAAGAGCACTGTCTGTTACTATGCACTGTCAAATATTTCTGGCAGTATTGGGAATTGACTACAGCATATTTCTTTTTTAAAACCAAGAGTTAACCTACATATTCTGAACTTGCAAATAATACACAACAGATTGTACTTCCATATAGGCTGCAGAGACATTCACTCGTTTTTTTCTGATTTGTATATAAGAGTAAATTTTCTATAATAATATGGAAGAAAATTAATAACTTATGTAGCTAGGAGGCTAGTAGTTATTTATAATCATATTATTCAAAAGATGACTGAAAAATTCAAAGTTAATTATTGTGAAGTGCACAAAATCTAGAATATAGGGACTTTCCACAGTACATTATACTAAGTCAACATATAATAGATTAAAAGCTGTAAAGCCAAAATCTTCCTTTAAAAATTTAGTGTTTCTGACATCATCTTCCACCATTCCATCAACTCTTCTTTCTCCTCTTCTTTTCTTTCAGACAATGACTCCAGTTCAAAATCAACCTGAGCAAGAGAAACAATCAAAAACATCAGTAAGATTTGTAGAGAGAAGCGTAGGCTTTTAAGTCATTTACTGAAAGTTGTTGTTTAACACAGACATGGGGCTTAGGGAGGTACCTTCCATTTTAGGTTAGGTTTATTTCAAAGTCTCTCAGGGCTGATTTAAATATGTGCAATACTAGCACATCAGTACAATAAACTTATCTAAAAAATGCACATAGGTGAGAAAATTTCCAAAAGAAACCAGACATCTGTCCAGTCTTTGACTTATCTAAACACTTAAAAAAATATGAGCCAATGAAATTAAAACTGAGTAATAGCCAGCCACATAAATCTTCTAGCCTATAATAAAAGGATCATCCACGTATTGCTGTCTAACACTTAGCAGTGCAGATCCCCAGCGTATCAAAACATGTATTCAATTTTATGCCATCAAGAAGATCCAGGGAGCTTTTCTGACACATGGCTCACTAGTGTAGATACGATGTGCTAGTGTAGTATACCCTATCATATGACACACACTAGACAAATAAGCATTTATTTTAATCGTTAAGAGTGGAATCCACACCTGTGGAGGATGAATTAAAAATGCTTCTGAACTCCTAGATGCAGCCTAGGTCTTATTCACTATACATGTTGGGTATCTACACAAAGCAGAGCTCCATCGCTATCCTTCTGCACAGAGCTGAACACTGGTTTTAACCTATGCAGCTAGTCACTTGACAATTTAGATTAAAAATATCAAGTCTTAATGAATACTGAACATCTCTTACTTTTTATTTTGCACTATTTAAAGATATTCTGTAATCTTCTATCCGATTGGCTATTCACACATCAACCAATAAAAAAAGTATTAAGTATCTCAGTATTACCCCTCACTGTGTCTTTTCATTTTAAATAAGACCAACGGGAGATGAAATGAGTTTACAATGAGATTACTCTCAGTTGCTTGTGCAGCAAGTACTAGAAGATTAGATTTCCAGTCTGTCTTCTAAATTAGCATATTCTGAAATATTATGAAAAATCACCTCCTGCTTACATGTTTACCATAAAGGAAAAAAAGTAAGAGACTTTTTTTTATATATAATAGATGATAAACCAACATACATGTGAGAACTTACCACAACTGCAGGGCTAAAGGGCACAGCCACTTTTTTAGTTATTGCTAGATAGCCTGGTGCTGAGGCTGTAAGTTTGTAATTTCCAGGCACAAGCAATCTCCAGTAATCACCATCCTTGGCTGTAAAGAAGAAAAAAAAACAAAACCAAATAAATATGTATAAAACTAATTATGCAGCTAAGGAGAAGGTACTGTATATCTTGTCAATGTCTGTTGTATTCCTGTCAGCCCCTTCCTTTTGTCTGTCTGAAAGGATTGTTCTCTAAGGGCTGTATAAATATATCATTACAGATTTTCTTCTTTCCAGGTAACCAAAACACAGATTTAAACTCTGAAGTTGTGCTGTAGCCTCCATGAGAGATTTTGCCTGCTGAGGCTGAAGGCTCTCCAGCACACTGAAGAAAAGGACAATCCGGGACATTATTCTACTTTAGAAGCACCCCCCGGCCAATGTGCAGCTCCTGTTAAGTGTCTGAGTTTCAGTTTGCAATGCAATATGGATTTTTAATGTCCCTCAGTATCCTGAAAATCCAAATTTAAATAAATCTTATTCTCATCAAATGTAAATAAACAGGACCACCTTTCTCAATTTATTTTGCTGCAAAAGCTGTAAATGATCATTTCCTGGAATACTCCACGTGTATCGCCCCTGAAGCATCATTATCTACATGTTTCAGTATCCAGGCAATATCTAGGGCTTTTTTCTTCCATTTAGCTAAACAAAGAAAAGAAAGTTTGAGCCACTCAGGTCAAAGAAAGGCTCCTACTGCACTGAGTGTTACTGCAGACCATCTCTTTCAGTCACAGAATAAAAATGCATCATCCTTTTCTCTAGAAATGACCCTCTCCCATTTTCACAAAGATCAGACGCTCCCTGCACCAGAAGTGGGCAATCATCTAATTTGTCACAGGCTAATACTCTGAATTTCTCTATCTCCACGCAGAATTTCAGAAAACATTGCAAGGCTATTCTAAAGGTCATTTAGCAGTGCCGTTTAAAGCACTTGGCCATGCTCTTACTGCCAGTTTCTTAAATGCTTTTTCAGCACATCTGCAGCTACACAGTGCACAGAGGGAAATATTACTTAAATGTCTGCAATTCGCACGGTCAAAAAATGTCAGTAGTCAGTCCAGTTGTTCCCAGACTTTTCTCTTCATAAAACAGAAAGGAAAAAAATTACTGCTGCAGAGCCATGATAATGATCTATTCTAATTCCTGGCACTGGAACAAAGCTGAATCTTAACTCACGAACAAAGGAGCAGGAAAAAAAAAGTCAAAGAATATTTATCCTTCTTTTTGAATGTACTAAAATTCAAGTACTTGTTTTCCTCACTGTTTTGACAATACACGATTTCCAGCCTTCTACACGCACAATGATGTGAGAGGATTCATGATTAGATGCTTTTCTGTATCGTAGAAGCGTGAGCTGTAGTATCGTATGCATCACTCTCATACCTCAAAATATCTTTTTGCACAGCTTATTCCCTTTTTATTATTCCTGAAAATTTATGTCCAGCCTCTATACTTTTTTGCCTTCTTACATACAGTGAAAGAAGGTGGCTAATGTTATCATAGACTGTTCTCCTGCTTGGCAGAAATGCTGCTCTCTTTGCAAGTGATGTGAGAAACAAACACAAATCAAAGCCAACTGAAGGGTCTAACAGTCCTGTTTCATAGTATTCTGCATCTCTGTAACAGTATAGTGAGTCGTATCATTGAGAAAATGACCATTATGTTAGCTTATACATAAAGCATTGGCATTTTATTAGTGTTTTTCTAATTAGTATCTTGTACAAACAAAAAAAATTGCCATTCAGAATAAGAAAGCATAGGTCTACAGGGAAGACTGCAAGTTGGCACTGTGCGAGCTACCTTTGAATTCATTCCTAGAATAAAGCACACCACCACTGAAGAGGTGACACACAATTTTCTATAAACACCAACATGATACTTACCTCTTTTAGAACCGCCCTTCTAAAAAAAAAAAAAAGCCACATAATTAAAAACAGCAGAGAGAATTTATCTTTGCAGGAGGAAGTTATGTAACCTGAAAATCTGTCAAGAATTTACATACCAAAAGGTATGATTGCATCATAAGTAATGTAACAGTTTTGGACTACAACTTAGACTTCAAACTCAAAACGACACTGCCGACAGGACTTTAAATCCTGGCAGAGTTGTGAAACACTGCTAGCACCACAAATCAGAAGACAAACGAAGCACAAATAACCAAGAGCTGCCAGAACCAATTCACGCCAGAGATCTATGAAGTCCCTACAACCAGTCTCCAGCTACTTTGAGAGCAAAATACAAGAGAGAGATTCATGAAATCCTGCAGGCAACAAGCTTCTTGAGGCACAACATGTTTTCCTGGCTTCAAAATTTTGCTCCCTTACAGCATCAGCTGATAAGATCTGAAATGGCTCCAGGTTGTGAAGCAGAGGGAGTAGCAGTATATTCCAGTACTTCTTGTTTTCCTGAGGTACAACACTCACCTGATGTAATGTCATGGCTTATTCCCTCCACAGAAATTGTAGCATTTGCTATTGGATTGCCCTGAAGATCTTTAACAAACCCCTTCACTCCTCGATGAATCTAAAATAAATAAATAAAGTCAGCAACACATGGGAAATCAGTGGAAAATTCTTAAGAAAAGATAGCTTTTTCGTCAACGAAATATCTATTGATATATCTAACGATGCATGTTAGGGATCCCACAGTCTACATGCCAACAACCATCAAGGATAATTACTAAACATCATAATGGAACAAAGAGTGAAGAGGAAAAATAATTCAGCTGGTAGTTATACTAATTCCTCTGTGCAATGCAAGCATTTCTCAGAAATATGCAGCAAATCATAATATATGTGAACACTGCCTTGAAAGTCTTTGTCACTGGGGATTAATGAATGTGCTGAAAAGCTTTGAAAGACAGCCTAAAAAAAACCTTTTTTTTTTTTAAGTTTCATCAACTGTAAGAATTTAGGGCTAATAATAGACACAACTGCTTAAAAGTGAGACATTAACAAGCTTGAGTGCCGGCACTTGGAATTTGATGGGCGATCCCTGTGTGAGATGCTTGAGCTCTCTATTGTGCACCCAAAACATCCAGGTCTTTGAGCTGGGACCACATAGAGTCTCAACACTCCCCACATGGCCTGTGAGAGAAGGGTGACGGTGGGTCATCTCCTAGTTCCTTCTTGCCTCTTAGGCAACATGCTCCAGGCAACAGCACCAGCAGTACCTAATTTGTCTGTTCCCAGCATATATGAAATTAAAGCACTGATCTGACCGCAGTGTGTGGAGAGACCAGTCCTGCTGGTATTTCTTAAGCATGGTCTGAAAGCAGAGTGAGCTCCTCAGAGGCAAGATACTGAGGATCTACCACCCTTTCACAGCCTAAGATAGGGAGCTCTCAGCGCTGGGGACAACGGGACATTTTGAACCCATGCAGAGATGCATCTCATTGGGAGCCTGGAAATTAAGCGGGGAAGTGCTGTGGAGTTCAGGCTTCTCTCTGATTCGGCGATATTTGAAAAGACTTGTGGATCACAAATTTTATTGTGAGATTTTGATATTCCCCTTTACGAACCTATATGGTGTATTCAGCTGCTATAATTTAGTTCACCAGACTCCTCTAATTTACACTGTGGGAGAAGCCTGACACAGATCGCCTTAGAAAAGCAGAAAGTACATATTTGCACTGCCCTCAGCAATCATGGGGGAGCTGGAGCATAGAGCTGGACCTCTTATCCTGTAAGAGGATAAAAACCAATGCCAGATAGGCCATCTGAACTTCAAGCATAAAGCCATCAGCTCTACAGGAGCAGAGGAAGTTGGCAAAATAATCTCTTACACATTAGTAATTTGAAAATGCAGTGACACCATAGTTTTCCATGAATCAGAGAAAATTAACCCATGCGCAAAGGAGCTGAACAATTTGAGATGGATCCCAACATAAATGGGTAAAAACCTGCAGTGTAGATAGAGCTTTTTCCTCAGCCCACATACAACTTACTAACAGAACTGTATAACAAACATTTCAAATATTCAAATATTTCAGATTTCTGGCTAACTAAAGCATTTCTCCACAAAGAAATTCTTAAAGAAATGAATGTATTACTTGGCCAGCACCGCTAACAAAGTATGTTTCTGATTTTGCAATCCTAGGTGTGCAGCTGTTAATGATATCAGATATATTTGTGATCTTTAACTACAATATCCAGGTTTCAGAAAGTCGAAACTGCCACGCTGCTTGGAACCATCATTTGAGTGCAGCCTGCTATATTGGCATGGAATGATTAAAAAAACCCACACCGACCAAAAAAAAACCAAAACCAAAACACCAACCCAAAACCAAACACACAGACACAGAGATCTCTTCAGGAGTGTTAACTTCTAACAACCCATTAGCACAAGACTATCTAAACCCACAACTACGCTTTACACTTCTAACCAGATTTTGTATAATTTTTAATGGAATCAGAGAGCAGCGGAGTATCTAAAAAACCGGGATTAGAGATGTCCCTCGACATTACACTGAACTGCCAGGCAGTTCCAGTCTAATCCAGCCATCTAGGCTCCCTGTACACCCAGAGTGATTCATCCCACATCTGTAGGCACACTTTGCTATCTGTAGATGGCAATCCATCCCTCTTAGTATACACATCAGTGCTGGGGGAATGAATTATACACTCTGGTGATGTGTATTACTTTTCATTGAGGAAGCCGACACAAATGTCTATAACAGCTTAAGTAAGGGGAGATGATTTCCATACTGTAACATCTTCTTTCTTTTCCCTTCTTCTTCCACATATTTAGAAAGATCACACAGGATTTACCATCTTAGGGTAAAGGCAAGAATTATGAAGCACCACTTGGATTAATATGCAATTTTGGATTAGATGTTCACACAGCACAAAGTTTAGAAGTTTTATGTACAATAACTAGAGTTTTGCCATCCTCTTTTTTGTTACCTGCTCGATGTAATTGATAAGGGAGTTCTTGTTGTCCTCCCAGTAGCCCTTCAGAGTTTCTTCAGGTGGGAATTTTTCACAGCTAAGCTCCACTGTGATTTCAAAGCAGTTGCTGCTGAGGTAATTGAAATCCTGCATTCCTGCAATGCCAGAAAAGAGAGTTAGTAATGCATTTTGCATTGTTCTGATGTAAATAGAGTAAAGGGGGGCATGTGAGATGCTGGGGCTGTTAAGAAAATAATAGCTATAAACACAGTTGGTGCAGTTCTATTTAATCAGCTTAGTTCTGAAATCAGAGGCATTAAATCAGAGAAACCAACAAGACAATTCCAAAAAAAACATTTTCTTCCCAAGGAAAGTTGGGAAGACTTAACACCAGGCCTGTATACTTCTATCTGACGTTGCACCTGGCCTGTATACTCTTACCTGACACATGTTTTTGGATAGCTGACATATAAATTACTTTTTTTCCCTCTTCAGGAACAGAAAATTATTTCCGATTATGGCTGAAATATTTCCAGATGAAAGCAAAAGGTGATCACTTCGTAAACCAAAAAGAATGGCAATTAATTATAAAGCAAATGAAACATGACAAAGTGGCTTTGAAAAAGAGGTTTATAAGGACTGGTCAAAAACATGGGGTTTTTTTTCTGAAAATATAGGGTTTCAACATAGTAACACTTTACAAGAAAAGCATCTGTTTGCTAAGGAATATTCTTTGTCAAGCTTCTCGGCATAGATTCCAAATATTTATGATTTGCCACCAAAAAAAAATACAAAAGCAAACTTCCTATAAACTTCCTTTACATGGAAATTTTTCCATGGATAGGGGTATTTCCCACCCACTCAATGCCTCTGCAAAATCAATAATCAATACATTACGAGAAACATCATTATTAATGCAACTTTAATCATAGGCATTTAAAAAATATATACAGTAGCATCATCACTAGGAATAAAAACTTGATGGGAAAGATGTACTCTTTTACACTTCTGAGCCCCTCCTCTTACTACATGGAAGTATTGGCTATTTTCTCAAATCAGTCAACCAATAACCAAAGTGGTTTCCAGTTTTGTACCTGGATTAGCCAGCTGGAGAGGGACTGTGGCTGTCCCCAGGCGGGTTATAAATATATTCTTTGCAGAAGCTGATGTAGAATTAGTGCTTGCCTTCCCAGTCTATCTAGCTAGCAGAGTCAGTGGATTCTCAAATGGAGGACTGAAAAGAAAAAGCCTACCAAGCATTTCGAGCATCCCCATGGAGGTCACTGAGGGATTTAAAAGTGCTTCAAACACAGCTAATTCATTCAGCGCTATGTTCCCCTATGCAAGCTACATATGAGAGTTAATGCAGTCTCTTTACCGAAGCACCGGTGTTGTGCACCAGTCCAAAAATGACCAGAGAGCTGATGTCATACCCAAAAGAGAACACCGAAGGCAGTGAACAGATTGAGTCAGGTGGGATTTTGCCAACACGTTAAGGTGAATCTATTTTCTGCCAACTAGACTCCTAACTACTGATAGGAGCAGGGACTTTTCAGATTCCTAAAAAGAACATTTTTATTTCTAAGCCTTTTTTAGATGGCTGAAAAATGAGGACACAGAAGGCAAAGGTGCTCCTGGGAGGGACAGCTCTGATGTCCCACCAGGCAGAATGCAAGATGGACCATTCAGCAGTACACAGCGAGAGAGCAGCGGAGTCATGAGTAAAATCCTGACAGCAGTGCTGACTGCCAGGAATCTGTTCCAGACACTAGATAATGTTGTTTTTCTTGATTTTTGCCTTTCTTCTACAAGAAAGAAAGAATCCATAAAGAGGAGAACTGGGAGCCAAAGGGCATGATGTAATTTTACTGTGATGCCAACAACTCTTGACCATGACTGCTCCAATTCTCTGGAAGTTTCTCCCTCCCCCCTTACCTCCCAAAGCAAGGTGATACTCAGGGATGCCCCAGTTTCTCAAGGACAGAATAAAGAAGCAATATATTTTCCAGTTTTGTGCACAATATCCATATCCTATAGTTTGTTTCCCAGCTCCTGGCCTGGGCCACAGTTTATACGTGTTGCTCCTGAAAAATTTCAGCTTGCATCACAGAGCTGCGGGTGATGATCTGAATCTCTGGGACGGAGAACAGGGTGAAGATAGCCTAGATCTAAACTGCGGCCTACTACATATGTAATCTGGAGAGCATCGGGCTGGCTACGTACAATTTGCACTCTTTACCTGCCTGTTCAATATGGCGATTAGGTGCAATATCCAAGAAATCAATACATTTCAAAAGATTTATTCAACATTGCGGCAACTTTGCTGCCACTGGTCAAGCTCTCTAACTGCCCTATTCCTTCTTGTTATGCACATGGCACATATCACATGCATGCACACCACCACACACTCCCAAAGCCTCTCGTTTTAACAAAGGATAGCACAAAACTAACTTTCCTATACTTTAACAGGGACCACTCTCTGAAGATCAGAAAGGCTTAGCAGACCTCAGATACAACTGAGATTCATGCCCTTCACTGCTGACCACAAGTAGGTCTTTTCTTTGAAACTGAGCAACAGAAACACTACTCTGCTGCACTGCTCTACCGTCCCGAAGGACTACAGTGTCTCTATGTTAGTACTCACATAAATAAGCTTAGAATATGGGACAAAACTAATTTCTTCAGCTTTTAAAAAAAGGAACTCCAACCTTCTCAAAGAGAGTGGAGTGCAGGGTGTGCCCCTGGCATCCAGGCATCAGAATTACTTAGACTTTGAATTACAAGCTACAGCACTAAGCTAGTTCAGCTTCTACACATATAAAGACAGTAACTTTTAGCGGGACAGGATGAACTTGCACCTTGTGCGTAATAGGGAGAACATGTGCTTCCTACACGTCATATAAAATCCTAAAAAAATTTACCTAACATTGCTTCCAAAACTGGTAACATGAAAGGTAATTCAAGATAGGAACGAATTAATTGAGTGCCAAGAGTGATTTGAGAGTATCTGAAAATAAAAAGACACTTAAACAATAGTACAGCAATGTAAGCTGCTTTGAAATGCTATTTTTGCAATGACACGAATCTGATTAGACTCAGGTGACTGTAATGACAGAACAAGCAGAACAGGCATGTGGCTAGCTAGTAATTCATTGCTATCTGCTCTTCTCATTTATATTTCCAAATAGATATTCCACACAAAAGGTACATTAAAAAAACATTATCAATGTTGAAACATCATGCACTCAACAGCTAAGGAAATGCCAAAATTAAAGATGTCTGTGCAAATTTAATTTGGCTTTCTTGTGCATAAGTGAAATCATTAATTACATACTGACAGGGAGAAGACCAGTGTTAAAAATAGCATGGACTTCATCTACAGGCTTGTTTTTCCCCAGGGTCTGGTGGCTAAAAGGGTCTTTCCTGAACACAGAAGAATGACCTCTTTGCCTTTGCTTACTGCTCTCTGAAAAACCTCCTAATTACAGATGACAACTAATACAAAGCAGGTGTAACAGGCATCATGGTGTCAGACTTAGCACAAAGATGCTGTTGGGGGAGCTATTTTCTCTGTGCCCTTGCTCCACGGAAGAAAGTAACTACTAAGCAGGTAACGGTGAGAAAAACCTCACAGCAAAGTGTATTAAGAGACAGAAGCAAGTGTCAAATATTCCTGTACATCATCTGCTCTCTCCACGCCAAAACCTGAATGGAGAATTGCCACTTTGCCTGAGGTCGATGAGGAAATCCTGAGGTTTGACAAGAGGGAAGGATAGAACATGAACGCAATGGAAGGTTCACCCTTACTTCCAGTTTGAGACAAGGGCTGCTACCAGACTTTTCTGCCACCAGATGTTCAGCCTTCCTACTGAAAGAACCCAGGTATTCAGAAAAACATATGCAAAAGCAACTCATACTCATACGAGAGAGCCACCCATATGTTATCCCTGCATACTGAGGAACCAGTGAAGTCTGCTGCTGGCCCACCACGTAGTGCTGTCTTTTACAGAAGGTAGAAGTTCCTGTGGGCGAATGATACGGGCAAAAAAATTGATGCAGCACAACTGGGGGCACCATAATAAGCTCTATAGGGCAATAGCAACTTTAGAAATTTATTAGAAAGAAAAATCAGCCCTTCCTAGGTCAGAGCTCTTGGTCTGATGAGGAACTGTCCAAGGCAGCATCTAGGAGAGCACAGCCTCCTAGCTCAGCTGTCCTCCACTCTCTCCTTTTTCCTTCCCTCACCACTGCTCTGCTAAAGCCATGCACTCCTTTCTACACCAAACACAGCTCCAGTACATACTCTCACCTATTTTCTATCTCTATTCCCAGTCACATTGCTCCAGTTCTCCTTTCTCTATAAACTTGAGGCAAGTCCTCTTTTATTTTGCTTCCTTTCAACCCAGGGAGATCACACAGGGATGCGAGCCTAACCTGCAGATGCCCATAGGACACTGAGCTACTCTCACATCCCCTCGCAGGACCCAGGACAGCCCACAGCAACCCAAAGGTGCAAAGGCAGAGAAGCACCGCCTGAGCTCCGAACCGGAGCAGATGCCATGCAGACAAGGTCTTCAGAGAGTTTCTCTTGATAAATCTGAGCTCTGGTAAGGATATACAATGAAATACTTTTCCCAAAGCAATACAAATGGCTTTTCAATAGCTTCTATCACTGCTAACTTTGAGTGCGTTATCATATGGATAGCAAAAGGTCACTGACACAACAGATGGTAACTTATATGCCACATTTCAGTTCCCAGACAGAGCTTTTCGGACTAAAGCTTCCAAGAAAATTTTCACTTGAACCAAGCAATGTTTAGTTATTTTCCTTAGCACTAGACATGGAAACAACAGAACTGTTTTCGCTGAATTATTTTTGGTTTTTAAGTCAGCCTGTGGCAAACATTACCATGGAGGTTTTGTTCAAAAGTCACAGCTTGCCAGCTGATTTCTACACTTGGAAAAAAAAACAGATTCATGCTGTATGGTCCAAAGTATATTGTCATCTCTCTATTTTTTATTAGCTGCACCATATTAGGATCATAGATCCTGGTTAGGACTAGGATTCCTGTCTACTAACTTCGGTAAAAATACATGAGAAAAAGAAAGGGCTCACTTGGGGAATTTGCAGTCTAACTTAAAATGAGATCCAAAAGGAGGAAATAATTCAAACTTTCCAACAAGGTTTTCCAATGGAAAAATGTGCCTTTGGCATGTGCAGTTTAGTCAGAATCAAAGCATTTCATCAAAACAATGGAAAGACTGTTTTTTTAATAGCATTTTCCTATGGAAAAAAAAGCTGAAGTTAAATATGCCCACATTTTTACAGTTAATACTTAATATTTCATTAAGATAATTTTTGGACTGAATTGAAACAAAATTTAACTATTAAACCTCTCAATATTTTTTTTATATTCAGGGTTTTTTTTCAAATTATGCAAACTGTTTTGTCAAGGGTGTTTGAATGGTTCCAATTTAAAGTCTGTGGAAAGCTCCACACAAAGGGAAAGTTTTGCTTTTCAGTCATATTCAGAAATGTCAGCATTTTACCTTACACCCAGTCCCTGGTACCTGTGGTACCACAGCAGAGGAAACATGCTGCCCCTGCGAAGATTGGGGATAACAGCTCTAAGAATAAGCAGGTGATTGCTGGCTGTGTGAGCACTACCAGTCGTTGTTCTGTTTCTAATTTCTTCACATAAGCTTAATTATTTTCCTCTTCTAGTACCCTCGTTACTGTAACAGGAGCAGAGTTGGGCTACCATCTATGCTGTCTAATGCTTTGAGAAATTCCTACTCATTCCAGGTAAAAAAACTAAAATTCATTCAGAGACTGTAATTGAATATTAAGAGGAAAGCAAACAATAAAACTGGTACATATGTTCAAAGTTATCTCATACAAATCCACAAAGCCAATGCACAGGCAAATCACTCCAACGCAAACTGAGTTTCTAGCTCAGAAATTCCCAGCTCAGTTCACTCTGAAGTTTTGTCCAAGTTTAGCAGACACAGACTCCTCAAAGATTTAGATATCCCAACACCTTTTTGCCTCAGTTTACAAAAATAACGACATATCATCAAAATTCTTAGTAAAAAGGAATAAAATGTTTCATTATTTCAGGCTACTCTTCTAGACTTCTCCTGGAAAATCAGTGTTGAAATGGCCATAGTAGCTCTGCTGTTCCTCTTAGCACAGAAGGCTCTACCAAAGTCTACGGGAACAGTACCTGGAAGGAATCAGGCACTAATTAAGCCACAAAGTATGGAGATTCAAGTATCTTCACAGCTGGATTTTGTTCCCATGGAAATCAAAGGCCAAACTCCCATTGTCAATAACATTGCAAAATCAGGCCTCTCCACTTCTTTCAAGGTTGGTTTCTTTCATTATTGAGGTTCAAATGAACAGTCAGTAGCCTGCTCTCTCTCATCAGGGTTTGTTAGGGGATTTTTTTCTCTCTTTTAAAAAAAAAAAACCCAAACCTTAAGCTCTCATGATAGCACGGCAATCACTCACCCACTGTAGAACTATTAAATTTGCAGTGACCTGAACCCTGACTGAAGAAACACTGTAGAAAAAGCAATAAAAGAGAAATATTTTAATAGCCATCACAATGAGCTTTATGGGATTTTATAGATGTACTGTGGTGAGTGATCAGCCTTTGATTTAGCCTTAACCACACCAACAGTTGTGGATAACCTGCTGGTATTCCAGTCTGTAATTAAATCAGTGAAAACTAAGCTTAAAATAACCACCAGTGCCACTGAACCCCATGCAGTGGGGCTCTCCTCCCGGGACGCTGTACCATGCACCGCCATTAGTTGTTCCATCCACAAAGCTGCTGTCATCATCATTTTTATGACACGGTGGTCTGTTTGGATCAGACATAGTGGGATTGAAAGAAGAGTAACTGCGAGCCAGGCTTTGAAAAATAGCATCATCGGGGCAGGAGCTGTATTCATGAGCACTGCCTAGGGTGGAAAAAAAGTCCAGGAACAAGGATTATTAAAAGGGCAGTCATACCGACTGGGCTCACAACCTAGATTACCAGCACTGAACAGGAGGACCGTGCCTGGAAATTCTCTGTACACGGCTAAGTGTCCTACAGCATCACAAACTAATATAGCATTATCTTAATAACATTAACATTTCCCCAATACTTCATCAATTGCCCGTACCAAGCTGCCCCATTATTAAGCTATTTGTATCAATCTTAATATTTATGAAATTATTAATTTAAAAGTGCACCACAAAATCTAAGCTATTCTAGGCTTTAGATATTTTCTTAGTAGAACACAGTACATAGACAAAGGTCTCTCCCTAAAGAGTTTTACAGTCTGATATTGAAAGGATTTGCAATTAAACTGCGAGAAAGTAGATTGAAGGAAGACAATCACAAACAATACCATCATATCATGACCATTTTAGCCATGTGCACATCCCCTAGTAGCAGAAAAAACAAACTAATATTGCTGTGTGCTAAATGATAACATCTCTGCCACAATGTGATCCTTTTTATATGGGACCAATACTGAGAAAGTTTGTATAGTTCTCATAGTTATTAGCACACTACCGCTTTCAGAAATTCATTTTTTAAAGGTGCAAGTAGAGAAACCTTAGATCATAGAGGCAGCCTAGACACATCTCTCTTGCTTCAGTTAACAGGGTGCAACAGCCCCAGCTAATTTAAGACCTAAGTTGCCTTGATTAAAATATCTGAGGGACTATGATTCCCTCAGGTATTACATAATTTTTGTGATGTAACTCTACTGAAACAAACTATCATCTTCAAAACTAGAAAACATGGTCGTACAGTAACTAGCTTTAAACATGTGATTAATATGCTAAAATAAATCATTACAATGCAATGACATGATGTTTACAAAGTGGAAGCAGTGAAATAAGTACAGAATGTAATTTCTATCTCCTACTATTTCTTGTTAACTTCTACTACATACCACTCCGAGTCTCATCATAAGGATAGTTTGCAACAAGGTCTCCTCCATGAAGATTGGCAGAGAGCACAAAGGGAATATCCATAATCCAGTGAATGACACCTTTTGTTTCAGGAGCAAGCTACAACAAAATAGCATTACCAGCAGTTACAAATTGATAATTCAACGTAGAAACTTATTCAGTTATATATAGTGGGCTTAATTATTATCACATATATTGTGCAAGACATTTAAATGTCTTGCAATTTTATTTTGGCTTCAGAGAGAACTGAATCAGTCCTTTACATCCGATTTATAATTATATTAAGTAGATTAATCTAAGTCTAAAACTGGTATAAATTAGTTCAGAATGAGACCACAAATAAAGCAATCTCAATCTTTTACTTCTTCCCATTACGGCTAAAAAAAGCCTACTAAATTTTGAACCAAGGAAAATAAACTAATTCAAAATAAAAGTTGGTAGGATGCAGTCTATTCTCTGCACGGAAAGTAAAATTACTTCATTTAATAATTTGAATTTGAAGACAGAATATGGCTATTAAGGCCACAATCCTATGGGACTGCAGTCACAACACTATAATTTCTAGAACCTCCTCTGGGGGTAAACACAAGAAGATAAAAATCCCTCCAGATATAGGCCTGCATAAGCTTAACAAAAATGCATGTGTTATATGTGAGAATTGCTGGCTAGCCAGCAATGTAATTAAGCACGATACACAAGTGAATTTCTGGCAATGGTAAAAATGCAGAATATCTGCAAGAATAGCTTCAAATCAAGGAGAAGGCTACGCAATCTCTAGCCTTAAAAATAAAAGATGTTTTCAGTAAGGAATTGTCTAAGGATTAAGCAATATGGATCAAAAGGGTTTACTACAGCAAGCCATTTTGAGAAAAACTTCAAGAAGCATCAGACGAATAAATTTAACAAAATGAACAAAATGCTTAGAAGAACGTGAATTGTAGAGATCATACACACAGCTCCTAGAGGTTGCTACGTGTCCGCTTGCATAAAAGGGAAGAGATGGGCACGTAAGTGACCCAATATTCAGCCCCTACTTACCTTAGGATTCTGGTCCACAGCTTTTTTCATGTTTTTCAGCAGATGGTTGTTTGGGCCACCTTCTTTCTCATTAACATAGACTATTCTATCAAGATCAGGGAAATTTCGGTTTAGATCTATCCCTTGGGCGTTACTTCGACCAACAAACCAGTCTTTAAGTTCACCGGGCTGAATGCGGAAAGGGAACAGAAAGAGAAGGGAGATGAGTAGATTCAGGAGATTACATATCAAGCTTTATACGGGTATATTTAGCCGTGCAAATTTAAATCATGGGTTTACTTCTCATGTTCTTCAGAATAAGAAGAGATCATGTGGGAGTAAAAACTTCTGAAGCTCCAAGAGCTGAGTCACCCCTATTTCCTCCTAGAGCTCTGTGGGAACAAAACCAACCTCTATTTCACTGAGGGTCTTGGAAGAGAGGATCATTCTTATAGTGGCAGATCTGGACTAAGGATGGGCAAAATTACCAGCAGCATCAGATTTTCCAGTGCCTGCTGAGTCTTCCCCCGAGACCTGGCTTTTCCCCGTTGCCTCTTGCCCATGCTCATGAACTACAGACCTCATTTTAGTGAGTCTCAGAGCAGCTGTAGATTTATCAGCCAGCCGCAAGGAATGTTTGCACTTGTTTCAAAATTCCTCTAAATAGCTTCAAGGTAAAGAAGGACCTTAACTTTTATTTACCTAAGATTTTTACTTTTATGGTGTCTATCAGCTTCATTCACTGCAATAGTGACACTGAATAAAGATGCAGTGAGAATTTTTGCAAAAATCTTTTCTTTAAGCTGATTCCCTAAAATAGGTTTGGGGTTGCATTAACAAAATGCCTTCAGAGCGCATAGTTTTCCCTAGCCTGTCTCTCTAAGCTTTCAGTACTCTGTAAAGCAGGTTTAGTTTGATTATTATTTTTAATCTTGGGGTATATTGAATCTACTGTCACACACTTTGTACAGGATCAAGACACTTCTAAATTAGAATAATAGTGACACTAAAGCAAACCGTGTTATAAATCGTATGTAATTTGTAAGGCAATCCTGTAAAAGCAAGTGTACTTTGACTAAGGAGAAAAAGTTTCAAATTATATTATTACAGAATCTCTACAGAGAGAGATTTCAAACAAGTAAAATACTGCATCAATTTGAGGACAGCTTCTGCTTCATTGCCACGAGAGGGAGACATACGACCGAATATGGTTTGAAAGCATTCTGTGGGGTTTGGGGTTTTTTAAAGACTTCATGAGAATTAGTTTAATAAAGATCTTGATAAGGTTTGACTTATTTAATCATAAATAAATAGTCACATAGAAAGATTTAACATTTCCACATTAATTTAAAAAATGAATACACCTTGTAAAACAAGAAAATTCTTATTTTTGTTTAGAACATAATACAAACCAGAAGCTGTATATAGCAGGGTCCTATTTGGCCTCTTTTTGCTAATTATGCATTAACGCATTACATGTTTCTTGACTGAGTCATCATCCCAAAATACCTGCTAAGTTTTCTTGACTAATAGCTTAATTAAAGTACCTCATGCCTGAAATTCAGAATCAAAGTTATTCATATTAAAAAGATGGCTCACAAAGTTTGCTTGTTTTGGGATCAAGCTCTGATGAATGTGGATAACTCATGTAAGTGCATTTACATGAGAATATTCTTAAAGGAAGTATCAACTTTCCCTTTTCTACCACTTTTGAAACATCATGTATTACTAGAAGTTACTTGTTTAGGAAGCAGTTCAGTCAGTGAACTTACATGAAAGAATGTGCATGAAACATAAATATCATTATATTTTAAAATACAGTAAACTCACTTACAAGAAAGATGGCTATTTGTTGAAAACCCAAGCATAAAATCCTCCTTGTTAAACAGAACAAGCCTACTGCACTATTAGGAAATACTTCAGTTATGCTCTTGCATTCAACAATCGCCACCAAGAGTTCATGTATCTGTAAAACTGCTAGTCCAAGTGCCATTATGATCCGAAGGCTGATACAGGCATCGATAACTATTCTTATATACGTGGCCTTACAAACCTGGGATGCTGCCTTCTCAAAGCCATCCGGGTTCAAAGATGGCATGATATGGATACGTGTGCTATGGATCAAGTTGATAATAGTTTCATTTCCTTTCTGGTACTCATTACACAAGTACTGAGCCAGGAAGATGAGCAACTCCCTTCCGACAGCTTCATTCCCATGCATATTCCCAACATATTTAAATTCCGGTTCTCCTGCAAGAAAAAGGAAGAACATGTCTTAGAACAACACATAAAAATCACTCAGGGACTGGATCACACAGCGCACCTGAGATGAGGGTATCACTATTACTACAACTGGTCACAGTATCCCCAGGAAGCTACAAGCCTCCTTCAGAAAAGTGGATTTAGTTTTTTTTCTAAACTCTGGCTAAACAAATAGTAATTTATTTTTAGCTGTTTGCCGAAGGCAGATAAAGAATACGAGAGGACAACAGAATATGCAAAAATAAATGCTAAGCACGGCCATTAACATTACTACTGTTGAGATCTAATGCAACTGATGCCTCAATACTACAAAAGGGTGTCTTGATTAGGTAGTTTTTAAATATGTAAACTGACACTAACAGAGCTTCTTATCTTTAATGTTCTCTTCAAGATTAGGTTAAGCTTATCACGCTACCCATGCATTAAACTGCAATTCTTTTACCAAAGCAACAGCTGTTGATCCCAGTGATCTGAAAAATCTTATTCAACAGTTGCTTTGGATAGTCAGCTCAGACTTTATGAAGCAAGTGCAATAACCTAACTCTTAAAATTAATCACTCCCATCTAACATTCCAATAAACAGTCCGGTATTATGCATATATTTAATGCTGATTTAATATATATTGTATATTCATATATAATATTCAATGTATAATGTGTTCAATATATATTCTACATATATTCAAATATATATATTCAATATATAAATGAGCAGTCCAATATTCCCAATTGCTCATTAGTCGCATTCCCATGACCCTAGACACGAAAACCACACAAGATAGGTCTTATAGAGCTGTGAAGGATTTACCTTTTAAAAGACTACATTTTGGGCCCTAATTCCAGAGAGGTTTTAGTATAACATAAATACCTGGAAAAGATTAAGAGGATTGTCCTGGAACTAAAATGAAGAACATGCTGTTTTCTGTTTTGAAGCCCTTTTTTCTTATCCTTTTCCTTTTTAAATGCAGTTGTTCTGCTGCAACCGCTTTAATCAAACATTCTGCTGATTATATGCTCTGGATAGTCTTTGAACACACTTTGCAATAGCCTTTAGCACTATCACAGGGGCAAATTCAAGCCAGGAGGAGTGTTACACAAACAAGACCTAAATAATTGCTAATCAAGCACACAGCCATATGTACATACGACTCTTCAGTCTGTGCTTGTTAACCTTAATCCAGTGATAAGATGCTAGCAGACAGAGGGCTATTAATACCATGACTTCTTTCCTTCCAGCTAAGATGTTTTTGTACATATGGATTTGTCCCTGAAAATTTTTGTCAGGTTAAAAAGTTTTCTACTTTCAGTGAAATAGCTTCATTTTATCCGATAGACACAATGCCATTACTGTGACTAAAAACCTCCATTTCCTCTTTCGGCATTGAGCTCCTATTTACTGTTTTTTCTTATCTGTTAATACCAGGGAATGCAAGAGGTCTAATCATCAAGACCATGCAATCAACCTGATCCCATTAAAACAGATGGATACTATTTAATAAAATACACAGCACTGCACATCACATAGTCTCATAATTAGACTACTCATGCATATGTATATTGGCGTGTTACTTATGGGAAAAGTGCTTCACAAGCTAAGAGGCAAATTTGTTACTGCGGTAAATATGAACAGGGTTGCATTTTGCATTTCTGGTTTTCCCTAGGACATCACTAGGGAAGCCTGAAGGAGAAATTATTTCTCCTGATTCCCAACTCTGTGCATTAGTCACCTACCCTTCTCTTCCACTTGAATTTTACAGGCCTGGTTCAAATGAAGAAACAGAAACATGTTTCCCATATGGTACTGCTTGCCCCCCTCCCCAAAGAATCGTTAACAGTGTTTAAAAGGGTTCATGAAAACAGGCACAGAGTCTACAGTGAACTAAGAATACAGCCTCAGCTACAGCATATCTTCAGTGGTAATGACCCATCTCAAATGAACATTAAAAGCTAAAAGGAGTTCAGGAAGAGGTAAAGAGAGTCATTGGAAGTATGGAAAGGCTTTCCTATGAAAAGTGATTGAAGAGATCAGCCCCATTTTCCTTAGGAAGAATAATAACGGACAGTCAAATACACCGGCCATTGTGGCATGGAGGAATCGGTCTGGAAAGCAGCACTTCCCTACACCACAATACAAGAGAGTGATTTTCAGTGAAAGGGAACAATGACCATTTTTAGACCGATAAAGAAAAATAACATTACTTATAACACGAAGTGTGAAACCAGTATTCAAAGAATCCCACTGGCAGCGAGGTGTCAGCGGAACTCCAAGTTTTGCTAGCAAACCAAGAGTTAAAAAACTGATCTAAAAGTGAATGCAAAAGAATGAAAAGGGAAAGATAACAGGCTGAATAACAGCCCTGCTTCAAAACTTAACTTTGTGTTCATATTTTAGCTCCCCTGGGCATTTTCTTACACCTTTCTCTGAAGCAAAGAAATCCATCTCCTATCGATCCTCTGGCTGCGGAGAACAAGGCTGTGCAGTCTGCACGTGTGGGAACTGTTCTCTGCCAGCTCCCTAGTGCTGCCCGCTTTCTTACCCACGGGCACAGCAACTGAAGACATACTGGGTTTCTGCTCAATATCAGAAGATACTGAATTTCAGACTGTATCCAACAATTTTAGGAAAACTCTTCATCATTTCAACAGTGTAATTTACATCCAAAACAACAATGGAAAAAACGGGTCCTTCTCATACCTAAACTTTACAGCTGCTCCAAGGGAAACAAACTCGATTTTTACTGTTTATTTCAGCAGAAACAAATTAATGCTACAAGCTGACTGCAAGGGAATTAGCAGTTTGCTCATTAGTTGTCCATGCCCATCACGGCCAAAGTCAGGGAGTCCATTCTGGAAAAAGGGACAATGTTGCTAAAGTCATTAGTTATCATCACAGTGCCCAAAAAGCCGAGGGAGCTTCCACAGGCTACTATCTGCTGATACGACTTTGAAGTTAATGAAGCGCTTAATTTGCATTTGCATTTCAGCCTTTCATGTTAGAGTAAAAACTGCAACTCAGGGCGTACCTTCTGGAAACCTGTTTTTGGAGTCACTTTTACCTAAATCCTTTCCTAATCATCTTCTTCTCTAGGACAATGAAGTCCAAGCTGGAGGGCAGACTGCTAGCTGAGGCCATTGCTCTGTTGGCTGAATTAAGCAAACCCAGCTGCCCGAGTTTTAGCGAATGACTCTGCTATGCAGCCAGCATCCCAGGCCCACTACAGCTCCTGAAGGAACCAGCTCCTTCTCCTCCACCCCATGGGCTAACACAGATACCTCAAACGCCGAGGATGCCAGCTGTCCAGTCCTTAAGCCAGCACTCCTCACTTTATGGGTTCCCTGGTCTATTCATTGAATATCTCCTGCCACACCATCTCTAAAAGCTTCAGGCTTCTCTGGAAAACAGCCCACCCCCTGGAGAAAACAGCCTTCGGTCACCTCTTGCTAGCATGCTACTTAGCTAGAGGAAGAGCTGCTCTTCCATTAACCCTTCATGATTAATCACCCTTCATAGGATTCTGTAACTGTAATTGCCTCACAGAATTACTTTTTTTATTAAAAGACTCTGTAAATCTCAATTTGATGATGAACTTTTAAACAGTTTCTCCAGATCAGTAGACACGTTCCTGTTCCACTGCAGAGAACTGAAGGTAGCTTTAAGGGAGAAGCAGCATGAAGAAATATAACTTTTTTCTCATTTATTTGACCCCCACAAAAAAGTAAAATTGTTTTAATGAATTCCCATGGTCCAAGATATTACAAACACAAAGGAATATTTCTGTTACTTGAATATTTAAAACTCCATTTAATTTTATTCATTTTCTGACAATATCTTTTCAAACGGTAATCTCTCACTCACAATAGCAAAAGTATGTCTTGTGTAACAATGTGAGCATGACATCTATAAATGCTTAAATGTAATTCCAGCCCAGATACAGCGGTTTATGATAACAAATGAATGGGTGGATACTAACATCTTTTGGGGCAAGTCATAAGAAATGAAATGCAGCAATCAAGTTTATAAATATCTCGGTATCTCTGGTGAAACCTAAAAGTCATCACATCATTATGGCTTTTAGAAGGCTTTTACATCCCTCTTAGATTGACTGCATGGTACATTACAACCTGATAAACGATCGAGGAAAAGGTATTTTAAAATGTCGTGCCTTTCTGGTGCCTGATGAACATTGTGAAATGTCACTATTCGCTTCTGCAGTTACTGTCAGTTAAGGTCTTCAGCAGTTTCCTAGGAACAGCATGTACATCGTCAATATTAGATGGGTTGTCCAATTAAAAATGACTAACCACTGCCATTTTCAGGTCAGGCTATATTTGTACAGTAAAGACAGTAATTTTCTAAAATGTAGGGACAAAAAATTTAGCACCTACTAATTATATATACTATGAGTCAAGGTAATGTCATGCCACTAGTCATGGTCTAATGTCAAGCAGTTAACCTTAAAATGTACAGTACTTCACTCGTGGAAGTGCAAGCCATATGGAAGAAAAAAAATTAACTACTTGAAAGTTTAAGTGCTTAATGAACCGTTTTGCAAATCAGCCTCAAATACCCTTAAAAACTACAGTCCTTCTTCTGCTTTCCTGTATTTCTTACAGAAAAGCCAGCAACGTTCCTGAAATAACAGACTTAGTCTTTTTGATTACTTACAGTTGCTTGTCATTTTTAATATGGCAACGAGTAAACTTTTCTTGTAGATAAATGGCATGGAAAATCTCAGAACCCCTGCTGGCAAGAAATTCATTCATTAAAAGTGATCGCAGACTTTCTTACGCTCCACATTTTTGTAGGTAGTTCAAAGAGAAAGAAATTCTCTGGAGATGAACTAAATGGAAAACCAAGGATTATAAAATGGGTTTCTCCTTTGAATGTGAAAAAAGTAAGAGAGGGAAAGAAGAAATTAAATGAGGAGGTGAGATTGGAAAGTGAAAGAATTAGAAAATTTAGATTTCTAACAACCTGTAAACTAAATGTCTACAACCTGCCTCAATAGC